TTGTCCTTTCCTAAATCCTCCTTATACTCAGTTTTTTCTCTCACTTTTACTCCCTGTAACTTTCTGTGTACTAGTGTCATTTCCGCCTTCCTCGGGGTGAAATTATTTAAAATACACACACACACATATATGTATAAGTGTGTGTGTGTGCGTGTATATATATATATATATATATATATATATATATATATATATATATATGTGTGTGTGTGTGTGTGTGTGTGTGTGTGTGTGTGTGTGTGTGTCTCAACGGCTGTTGTGAGCCGTCTAGTGTGGAAGTCTGTAGTTGTAGTGCTTGTCGCTTCTCGCTTTCAGTTATCGCCGCTGGCTAGCAGAAATGCGATAAGGGTAGCAAGCCCTAAGTAGTGCCTCCTGGTGGCGACACATGGCAACCGAGCACCTTGCGGACACGGGCTAAACTACAGGGGACGGGGAAGGAGTAAGCACCCTTTACATGCGACATGCAGGCCACCGGCGTGTGGACATGCCCTGGTGTCCATGAACCAAACACCAGCTATGGGTTAAATAGCTCCACTGTATTGTGGAAATCTTCGGGAGAAGGACAAGCCAAGGAGTAACCCCTACACAAATCCTCAGTGGAGCCCCTAAGGCGGATGGACGGGACTCTGTGCTACCTTCCAGCAACTCCAAAATGTACTGGTTTATCCACTCCTTTGAATTCTGCTAACAAGGCCAAGAGCGGGAACTAGACATCCGGGCAGCCCTAGTTCTCCATACATCACGCCCAGGCTAGTAGCGCAATGCGCTACTCTATCGTCTCCCCGAGACGGACGGATGCCAAACCAAACCAAACCAAACCAAACCATATATATATATATATATATATATATATATATATATATATATATATATATATATATTTGCGGGAAATTACTGAAAATAATCAAGCCTTTTCTTAAATGTTCCAATCACTCTACTGGTTCAGGTGATTAGTTGTTTTGATTTCGTGTTTTTTGTTTTGTTTTGTTTTTTGTTACGAACTATTAATCTTTTGTGGATGATTTGAAGCCGAAATTTAATTTTCTATTTTTTAGTGCGCCTTCGTCGCAACCAAATAGCGTGGAAAAATGCTCAAGTCCCATCGGCACTTTTCAATTCCAAGACGCCTCAGACGCCGGGTAGTGACACCACCACCCAGCGAGGGAGAAGATCCGCGTTTGTCGTGCTTGAGTTTCATATTAATTACAAACTAACCCAACTAATGCCGGGGAAGTATATTTCAGTCGGAACAGTTTCTGATCGAATAAAACTTTTTCGGTATTGAATAATGCAGTAATTTTTTTTAAGAATAACAATGACTTTTCTAGATAAATACTCTTGTAGAGTAGTTTCACAGTGGAGGTTTGTATTTCACTAAGTCGGTCCTAAAATAGGTTATCTAGTGGTGGTCGCTGATACTTTAAGTATCAGATTAACGGTCGTCCGACATCGACTAACTGACCAACTCCCTGCACGACTATTACTACTACTTATAGATGGGAGAGTCTATTAACAATAGAATAGGTGTGGTCCACTATAACATCCCCCCTAAAACTTTACTCCGTAGGAGTAAACAGTTTTATTTATTTATTTATTTTTCTTTTCTTTTTTTTTACATGACATATGAAAAAAAAAAGTTGTTTTTTTGTTTGTTTGTTTTTTTAGCAACATCGTAGCGTATTTCCTACGTTTTTTATCCACTTTTATATGATCAGTTGCCTTTCTTTTTTCTCCTCGATCGGCGTATCTCAGGTAAAATTGTTACAGGCGTTGTTAGATCAAAAACGTATTGAAAATCACCCCCATCTGCGTTTTTTCAGCGGGACTGATGTCAACCACATCTGAAAAACGTCGTCTGATCTGGTTACTGCACGTTAATTTTTCCCTTTTCACCAAGTACATCATATAGCCAATCCGCTTTTCTATTTTTTTATACCTCCATAGTGTTACCAGAAACAACCTTCCACTTTGAGCTTCTTAAGGATGGAGTCACAGTTTCTGTAGATTCTTCTTGTGGTTCTATTTGTTCAGCCTCTAGCTTCCTATTTGTTGATCTTGTGCTTCTTAACGTTTTCAGTGGTGGCTTCAGTTGACTTAAATCATTTAATAATACTGCATGTCCTTGGCTGCGGGTAACTCGCTCCCCAGTTTTTCTCGGTGTCGGCTTCATCTTTACATTCTGGAGCTTTTTTTTTCACATATATCGTCGGTGTTAACAATTCGATTTTTTTTAAATACACTGGTTTTCTATAATCTGTCCAATTCTTTATCTATCTGTTCAATTGAAGCAAACAGCACATTCCTTTTCTTTTTGAAAACCGCCTGAGCGTTTTCTTTTGGTTGTAATTTTGCCTCTATCTTGGTACACGTTCCCAAACCTGGAGAAAAAAACAGTAGGAAATGTTCCCTTAAGTTTCTTTACTAATTTCTGGGCTTCGTAGTTTAAACTTTCAACTTTGTAACAGAAAGAATTTATCGGTAGATCCCATAATTGAAATTCTGTTATCTAATTCGTACCAAGTAAGTTCGTGGTATTTTCTATGACACATAGTTTAGCTTTTTTCGCGTTTTTTTACTTGACGTGACGTTTGTAACAAATTCTCCAATAAATTGTATTTTTTCTCCCGTCACTGACCTCGCGATTTTATTTGTTTTCATCAAAGTTGGTTTCCCCAACTTTGTCCACGTATGCAAATTTATGATAGATATGTCGGAACCAGTGTCGAGTTGCATTTTTATTTTTTTATTACTTATTTCGACGGTAACAAATTTTTTGGTTATTCTATCGTTCACCTCGTCGGATTTAATTTTCTTATTTTATTGTCTTTATTTTTTGACCTGCAGTGCGAGCTTTTATGCCCCACTCTTTTACAGTTGAAACATTTTTTACTTCTAAAATTGCAATATCTGTACCAGTGAAGTTCACCGCAAGCAAAAAATGGCTTCGGGAATTTTTGTTTATTTTTCTCTGGTATTTCACATTTTGTTTGATAACCCGCAATTTTAGAATTCTTTTTGGTAGCCTGACTTTCTTTTTTGTAGCGTATTTTCCTTACATACGAAACGCCAGACTGTTCTATCTTTTTCTAATCTTTCTTTACGCCAACATATCTTGTGCAGTCTTCTGCCAAACTCTTTATCATAATCCTTGGTTGGTTTTCCAAATTTGTCAGTACTAATTTTCTCAACTCTGCGTCTCTTCCCGATACCAGCCCTTGAACAAACACTAAGCACTTAAAGTTGTCAGCGCTTAACTCTGCTAGCTTGAATTCTTCACAATGCTTATTCATATTGGGTGCGTACGTTATATAGTCTTGTTCGTCATCTTTCATCAGATTCAAATATTTCCACCTCTTGGAAAACAAAGATGTCTATTACTAAATAATTCACTTAATATATTTACCGCCTCGGTAAATGTCAAGTCGCTAGTTTTTTTCGGTAAAATGTAGTTTACCAATTTGTTATGCTCAGCAGTTCCTAACTTGCTTAAAAGAAGTCTAATCTTCTTTCCTTAAGACCACGAATGGCAGGCCTCGTTATACACGTCCGTATATTTTTTATAATACTCTTCAAAAGTTATCTCTTCATCTTGACTGTACGTGAATATTTCAATTGAATTCCATATTGTATTCTCTGGGAAAGAATCATTTTGTAGAGTTTTCTCTTTCCTCTTAGTTATTTCCAGAATTTTGTTTTGAAACTCCTTATGCATCTGTTCCATTTCTCTTTGAAACTGCATCTGTCTATTAAAAGTTTCCTCCTGTAGTTGCATCTGGAATGTTTTCTGTTGCTCTAATATTGTCATCTGTTGTTCCGTCTGGAACTTAAAAAATTCCTGGAATATATTTTTGCATTCTTTCATCTTCGCAAAAAGTTTAGAGAATGCTTAAATATTATAGAGTGGGGGTGGGGTCCAATCGAATTTGCAATTCGTGACCTATTTGAGCAAACTGTCTTATTGAGAAAAAAATTATTTTCTCAGTTGAGAATACGACAGATTTTTTTTCGTCACTATGTTTACGTCTTGTCTTTCGAAAAACTTTGCTAATTTTCTTTTTTTTAATGTGAATCCGAGATGTTGTCGCCGAAAATTGTGACGAGCAAGTATTTTTTTTCTTTTACCTCCGTATGAGAACGAATTTTGTCACCAAATAATGTTGCGAGCGAATTTTTTTCCTCTTCCACTGTATGAATCCGAATCCTTGTGGCCAAATTTGTTATAGCGGGTGAATTTTTTTTTCTTCGTATGAGTTCGAATCCTCGTCGCCAAGTGTTGTAGAGTGAACGAAAATTTTTCTTCCTTCGTATGAGTTCAAATACCTCGTCGCCAAGTGTTGTAGAGTAGTTTCACAGTGGAGGCTTATATTTCACCAAGTCGGTCCTAAAATATGTTCGACGTACAAAACGTTAGGAACTTGATATAATAGGTAATGACGCAGAGAAATCTAGTGGTGGTCGCTGATACTTTTATTATCCGACTAACGGTCGTCCGACATCGACTGACTGACCAACTCCCTGCGCGACTATTACTACTACTCCTACTTATTATAGGTGGGGGAATCTATTAACAATAGAATAGGTGTGTTCCACTATAACAAATAGAAAATCTCTAAATACTTTTATGTAAACTGTTCATATGGACTTTCCTCTATGCTACCTAGACTCTATGAATTTAAGCGCACTACTAGATTGGCGAGAAGGTCAGATCATTTTGCATCGATTGATCCGTTTTTCACGGCTTATCAACACTCTGCAGGTTACTTAAATACAGAAAATATTTTAGACTATAAGAGATAATAATGATTTAGTCTTCAAAATTTGATATGCTGATAGAAGTCTTATGAATTAACCCATAGCTGGAGTGGGGGGGTATGTGGTTTCATACCTTTCCCAAGGGAATTTGTGCGTAAGTAAATATAACGAATATTACAAAGGTTGGGACTCGGCTCTCCGATTAAAACTTCCGTGTTATTGTCCATTACAACACCCACTCATCCAAGCTTACAGCACCTGGTATTCCCAAGCGGTCACCAATAATGATCAGTCTCAATGTTGCTTAACTTCGGTGATCTTATGAAAACCGGTGTTTCAACGTGAAATGGACGTAGGCATCATTTTACGGTTGAAATGGCTAGACGTAACTGTAAGCTCTATGCTAAAACTTTCATTTCTTGCACTTCTCAATTTCAGTCAAGGTTGCTCTCCAAAAATGGAAATGAAATGTCAGTCGTTATCTTCTGTCTCCTTACTCTCCGTTCTGTTATCGTTCTAGCTATTTAAAAAATTTTTTTTATATTTTTCTTATATCATTTCACACTCAGTAGCCCACCCCAAGCATCTCAGCAGCTTTTTTTTTGCCTTGCTTGGAGTGTAATAATAAAAAAAGATGTCCTCAAGGACACATGGCATAGTGGATAAAGGCGTTGGTTAGATCCAGTGACAGGACCCAAAGAGTGTGAGTTCAATACTCGGTTAAGGCAGTGGTGAACTTTCAGAAGGAATTAACTGATAACTGACATCCATCAAACATGGCACGTGGAACTAGAACAGTCTACCCCAGTGAGCGAAATAAAGGGTTCAGTTCTAGATTCCAACCACCTGAAGAAGGCCGGAGCTTACAACGGCCGAAACGTTGTGATAAATATGTCGACAAAGATGAGGACAATAGTCTGAATAATGTATAAAAAAAAAATAAGTCTCCTATTTAGCCTATTACTGAGAAGGGATGCTCAAGGGCATTTGCTCATAAATGAATGTAACTAACCCAACTTACGATTTTTTATTATTCTATCCACGCAGTTTCAAGTGAAACTGATGACATAATTGATATATCATAAATTATTTAATATAATTTATGTTTATACTTTTTTTAATAGATGCAATCTATTTAAGTAAGTGCTCTTTTGTTTTTTTTAAAATAAACAATTTAATTTTACCGGCCTGAATATTCGAGAAATTTCGTAGAATCACTGTTTATAAACAACAAATCTGTGTCGATCTTTCCTGAACGGCCATATCTGCTCAAGAGACGTACCTTAACGTACAAATTGACAACATATTATGAAATGGATTAAGTCCGACAATTATTTAATATATTTTCTGTTTATACGTTATTTTAATTGATATCATTTAAGTAATTTGGACTTTACTAACCAGATGCTTCTCTCTAACTGAGTGGTATAGCACGTTAGATCAATTGACGGTTTCGTATAGGACACAGGTTTGATTCCTTTCTTGATTGATTTCTCGACCATTCAGACTGGAAAATGCAATCAATATTGTCTATTTAAAAAACAGAACATTTACTTAAATAAATTGAATCTATCAAAAATAACATATAAACAGAAAATATATTAAATAATTGTTGGACAACACATTTCATAATATATTATAAACTATATGATAATTTCAGATAAAAGTTCCAAGTACAATGTTCTGACACATTACTGAGGAAAGCTTGCTATTCGAACCGGCGTGATTTTACCCTCAGGCCGCATATATAGCCCCAAGAACCTGCCTCTCATTATTTGGTTTAGGGCTGTAGATTTTCAACACGACATTATCTAAGCGACGCAAAGGCGAATAAGACTTTTATTAAATTATATGAAATATCGCCTTAGCATGGAAAGCCGATTGAAAACAATCTACCAAATTGATTCAATAAACTTTTCATTTCAACATTCCAAGAATGTTAAGTACGAAGAGTGACAATTGTAGTTGACCAGAGGGTACTACGACTAAAATTTTTGCGAGTATAACACAAAGATGAGCAATTGGGTCCGAATAGCTAAGCATATAATGATGATATCAAAATTTCCGAAAAAAAAATAGGAAAGTTATATAAAGGTTTTTGAAGTATGAACAACGTTGTTTCAGTTTTTCGGTCAGTCGGGTGTTGTAGATCTGCTTACAATAAATGGATTTTTTTTCAATGCGCTCACGTCAGTACCGAATGTGACACAAGGTCGAGGTTTTAAATGGGTTTACCGGCAATACCGTGGAAAAATTGCTGAAGCCGCCTTGACACGTCTTTTTTGGGGACACCTCAGCTGCCGTGTAATGACCCTAACCCTATCCACAAGGAGAAATACAGCCTGGAGTTATTAATATCTCTATTATATTTCTGCTTGTCTTCCATACCTTAGTCCGCACAGGCGTTACGCCTTACCAATTCCTCATAAGTAATAGACTATTTCGTTTTGACCGCGTGAAAACACGGAACTGACGTTACCTGGTTACAGGGAGAAAATAAAGAAAGAAAGCAAGAAAGAAAGGGATATAGCGTCTTTTTCAGTGCAATGGAAAAAGCTGTCAATTTCAAATCCTTTCATTTGTTCACACTTATAAATAAATTTGTTAATAAAAATGCTTGCAAGACGGGTTTTCGGCTATTTAATATTAACATTAACTTGAGCTCATAATATTTTGAAACTACCCCAGCGGATGCTGGGTAAGTATTCACCTGCTTATAAGAAAAAATATATGAAACTAGAAAAATGAGCTTCACCGGAACAGAAGAGCAGTCAAGATTTTAACTATTGTTTTCTTCAACCCGAAAATTATGGGTTTCTGAAAACATAGACGCAGAACAGGTAAAATAAACTGATCATGAAAATGAAAAAAACAATGGTTAAATTCAAGAAATCTATCAACATCATAATTGCTAGTTCTTGTATAATTGTATAGAAAATATATTCTTGGCGTCACAATAAAATATCATTTAAATGGCGAAGCCTACTATTATTGTGGTTGACCGCGTGCTTCAGTTTATGAGTATAGTGCCTCCATTGTCTGATGGCTACTACTGGCAGGGCAACGGACAAATCAAAAAAATAGTGACACATTGATTTATAGTCGGGGGAGCTATGAGGCTTCTGTGTTACAGTGACCTCAAGAATCACCGAATCTCTCACCCTATAGAGCAGCTTTGGAATGAGGTGAAATGAAGGAATTCCAATCTTGGATATACAGACAATCAATAAAGAATAGCGGAATCATATAGGAAAAACGGGGATCAAAATTTTGAAACAGTAATTCCAGAACTTTTCAGATCTACGGCCAAAAAGTATTGACGTAGCTCAAAACAGAACCAAACCCGGTACTAATAAAGCATACATAATATACTGAGCGGTGAATGGATATACATACATATATATGTTATTAATTTAACCGTTATTATAGTGAATACTCGTGCTTGAAATAGACGCTACATTTTATTTTAAACAGTGTGGGTTACGTCTATCTGCGCATTTGAAAGATACTGCTAAAGAAAATATGCTTTATTGTAGGGATCGAACCTTTATCTCCATTTTTAGAAGAAACCACCGTTTGGCACGGTGTGGTTTACCGTGCGGCTACGGATAGCTTCACAGTTTAGTAAAGCTCTATTATCCCCTTTAAAGTGACTTGCCGAAATGTGACACCCTTTGTATATAATAAAATTGACATATAAAATTTTGTTTCGCAAGGAAGTAATCCCAAAACACTTTCGGTCAGGCTATTTCTGCGAGATACAAATACAATACTGAATATGGCGAAATTAAATGGGGATTTGAATCAAAACATGCCTCAGAACATCGGATTACCGAACTTACATTGCAATCATTATTTTATCAGTTGCTCAAATGCGTTTGAATAAACATATTTCTTAATTTAAAAAATAAAAAACAAAACAATTTACACCAGTAACCCCACCAGTTTCTTTTGTGCATCAATTTTAAGGTCCTCTTATATATATCATATGGACATAAAATCTTAATTTCATAATATGTTTCCTCTGAATGCATTGACAACATATATTAAAGTATATGACTTCACGACGACGCGAAGAATTCTGTAGATAATACCCGAATGTCCTTTAATTATCTCGTGAGAAAGAGACGTTGGCCTCTCCTCATAAATCGACAAGCAGTCTCGTAATTTTTTGTACTTAACATTGATAGGTCCCTACCTCCTGCCAGTTCTAAATCTAAACTGTTGTATATTGGTAACTGAGACAGTATAGGATTGGTTACTTGAGAATGAAATCAGGCTCGGGTCACCCCCACCAGGGAAAGAATCGTTACTTCCTTCCCCTTTTCTCGATTTTGACATGACTTAATCAAGTTTTACTTTGTGTATTTATTTTTTTTTCATCTTGTTATTTACTTTATTTGTATTCAGTTGAATTCATGATTAACGGTCAGCTGATATGCTTAATAAAATCGGAATGAAAATAAAAAAAATAACAAAAAAAGGAAAGAATTAAGATATATTGGCAGGAAAGTAAAAGATCAAATTATAATTCTTCTTGTTTCTCCGTTAGTTAGTAAGCTCGCGCATGCGTTCATCTCCTGCTATTACATTAGATAAATAATGGAAAATTCCGCTTTACATTCATGAAAACCCGGACAAAATGTTCATATCAGAGACACTTTAAGAAAGAAAAAAAAGAAAGAAAATAAGAAAAAAGAAAGAAAGAAAGGAAGAAGAAAGAAAGAAAAAAAGAAAATAGGAAAGAAGAAAATAAGAAAGATAAAGAAAGAGAGAAAAAGAAAAATAAAGAAAGAAAGAAAGAAAGAAAGAAAGAAAGAAAGAAAAAGATAGATAGATAGATAGATAGATAGATCTAAGCGCGTAAAATCTGCCTTAGTTAAATCGAAATAAGAAAGAAATAAAAGGAGCAAAATAGAAATAAAGAGAAGGAGAGGTAAAGAAAGAAATTGTCTGTTGAGCAATCAGTCAGTTTAGTGTCGTACGTGATACCCGCTTGGGCGATCGTATTTCTTTCGATTCATGACTGTCTAAGCAGAAGATATTCCCGCAGTAGGCTGTTGTTTATTTCTGCGGCAGACTGGTTTCCAACCAAGGGATCAGTCGCTCCTGCTGTTAAACCCATAGTTAGGAAGAGCAGAGATGGATTCATAGCTTTTCCAATGATATTTACGCGTAAGTGGATGAAACAACCCAAACTCGATTTCGAATTGTAACGGTATAATTGACATATATTTATTATGCATCTTATAATTCTAAGTAGCAAAAGCATCTTCTTCAATACTGAAGTTTCATTGATGATTATTCTTCATCAATAGTATACAAATTACACGTTAGAGTGAACTAATCACAAACA